TAGACCTGGCAAATGGGCGGGCCGGGCCGGGTTAGGGTCGGGTTAAAACGGGTCACGGGTCAAAACGGGTTGGGTTAAAACGGGTCACGGGTTAATAAAGGTTAACCCTAACCCGCCCATCACGGGTCACGGGTAAACCCACGGGTTGACCCAATTAAATATTTTTTTCTTTTTTTCTCTGTAATTTGTACCTATTACAATTTAAATTATTTTAGATGCTTGATTGGTTTCACAATTCAAAAATTAACATTCAAATACCAAATTTCATACAAACTAGATAAGAAGATACAAGTAGGCCGTAGTTGTCCAAAAAAGGCTGCCAAGTAACAATCATGATTTCGGAATAGAAAAGAAAAGAAAATTCACAAAGTTTATAATGCTAATTGCCAATGTTGTCCAAAAATAGTAGGCTATCAACGAAGTACTAATTAGAACTAGGTAACTACCAAATATTGAGAAAATAAAAGTCCACCAAGTAACAACTCTCAAGTGCAAATACAGGAGGCAAAGACAAGTTGGTGGGAGAATAAACAGACTACCAAGTACCAAAACTGTCCAACCTAAGTGTGCCCCTGAACAAAAAAAATTAATATGGTTATAAACTTAGAAGGACGTTAAGAAACTCATAATAACATTTGCCAAACAAAATTCAGTGTCGAAAAAAAAAAAAAACTCGTTGAAAATATGAAGTTTTGAGCTTTTTGATACTTTAAGTTAATAAAAGTTACCTCAAGAGATATCTTCTTCACCTTCCAAAATGGTAAAAGTTTGTCCTTGAGATGGTCCTACTCTTCCAAGCTCACTAGTAGGAGGAGGAGAAGTCATACTTATATTGTCCAAGTCTAAATGAAATTCACGTCCTATCTCCTCACCTTCAACATCTGCTTTTAAAGAAATCAATATACATGATTAAAATTAGTCATTCTTAATCCAATCATCTTTAATTGCAAATTGAAAATAGGTAGATTTAATGAACAAAAACAAAAGAAGCATATTACCTTCCTTTCCAAATGCATCCAACCAAGTTCGAGTCGTAAGCAAAGCTTCTGCATTTTGAGGTAAAAGAGATCCTCTCAATTTGCTTATAATTCTCCCACCCATACTAAATGCAGATTCAGAAGCTACTGTGGTAATTGGAATTGTTAGGATGTCTCTGGCCATCCTAGACAAGTTAGGAAGACGTTTCTCGTTACTAGACCAATAAGCAAGGACATCCAAATCCTGCTCTAAAGCAAGCCTTCCCTCTTCCAAATACTGTCGTAATTCAGATGTATGAACCTTTTCCACATTGAAACTTTGAAAACCCTACATTAAATGGGAGCCACCAAATCATAAAATACCAGAAATAAGTTTTATACCACCAAAATTGCAGAAAAAATGAGCAGAAAATGCAGAAACATGCAGAAACATGAAAAGAAAAGTGCAGAAAAATTG